CAACTGAGAAATCATAACACACGAGCAGCATACAAGAACTGAAAAAAACTAACAGGTATTTTTTGGAACCACTAGTGGGTTATGGTGGAGCACCATTGTCAGGGATGAATTCCTATAAATAATGTTAATATGTACTAGCAAATAATTTTGGTCAGGCCTTTTTGGAATGGTAGTAAAATCCATATTTCTAGTAATGTAGGTACTTACATCGTCGCGCCTATGGTTGACGATTGTTTTATAGTCCTAACCCTCGATTTGTATGCCGTTTGTTGTTTCACTGTATTATATCATTATTGCTTCAACCATGGAATGGCATACTGATTAAATATAAATATACAGAAAATTATTTTTCTATTTTACAATCTCACCTCTATTTTCTAATATGACAAACCCGTTCAAATAGTATGCCATTTTACATATCGACATTTTAGGATACATATTTCTTATTGCAATAGATTTCAAATTGCGTAAAATAACGGAATTTTATTGAATAACTCTACTAAATGTTTTTATTGTGAGGTATACTTGGACATGCGCGAACGATATGTCATTTTTTCTGTAGCTGATGTATAGCAAAACCATGTATACTTCTACTTCTCAATGGCAGCCTCTTTGGAAACGCGGATAAATCGTTTTTTTAAAATGCAAGTACTGCTGACCGTGATCACCTTTTGGGCTCACGCAAACGGTATGCCTTTTTTTCAATTATCGCATTCTACTCGAATTTTATAGTGGATTCATGGCATGATGGCAGCCTGTGTAAAATTGTATCGAAACGCTTAATTTGCAAACAATTGTTGATTTTTGTTATTATATGAAGAACCCGAGATGAATGTTTACTCTATGATTTAATAATAACAGAATATGTCTACCATTACAGTGGCGGATCCAGCGCGCCCCCCCTGAGAGCATCAAAAACTGCTAATTTTTTTTTTTTAAATCATAGAAAAATTTTATAAAAGAATTTTCCAATAAAAGTTCATGGAAAAATTTTCCAATAAAATGTTATTGGAAAATTTTCCAAGCTACACTATTGTTCATTTCATATTGTTTTGTTTTTTATCAGATAAATGTGTTATATTTTTATTTGGAATAGGTATTTTCATTTGTTATTTTCGGTTTTTTGATATGTGCAGGGTTGTCCAATTTGGACACTTTTGATAGAAAACATCAAGTTGTCAGAGATAGACCTATTAAACCTTATAGACTGTGAGATAGGGGCTGTTTTGTGGAGTCATTTTTTTTTGTCTGGCATTTTGAGGACTGAATGTGGCTACTAAGCTGATGAGAATATGGGTGATTTTAATGCCTGCCTCCCGTTCGAAAATTTTCAGAAGAAAAAAATTGATTTACATGAAGATTTTTTTTTAAGGATCTCAAATTTTCTGGCTTTTAAATAAAAGATTGACATTGATAAATAATTCACCCATGAAAAATACCAGATGCTTTTCAATAGCTGAAAAAGTGGGGATGGGTGTCAACTTCCAAGAGAAAAGAAAAGAACCTTCCGCGTTTTCTTTTTGTCTGGCAATCGAGAGAATAAAAGGTTTTGTTGTGAATATAACGCTGAAAAATCGCCAGACAGTAATCAATCACAGTTCGAAATCGAGTTTTCCTGCGTAACATTCTGTGGACATTTTGAACAGGGGGCAGGCATTAAAACTACTTATATTCTCATCAGCTAACTAGCCACATTCATCCCTCAAAATGCCAGACAAAAAAAAAAAATGACTCCACTAAACAGGCCCTATCTCAGGGACAGGGTCTAGGTTTCACTTTATTGCTCAAAATCGAGAAACATCCTCTAGCGGCAAAACGGTTGAGGGTATCAAAAGGCGGTTTGCAGTGTTTGCACCAATCAAGATTTCATGAAATTTCAGCGTCAGCAGAGTGGGGGGTTCATTTTTTGTATCTGGCTCAGAAATTGACGTTTCGTATCGAAAGTGTCCAAATTGGACCACCATGTACAGGGAGAGTCACTATATTTTGACACCTACCTGCAGCCTTGATTACAGGTGATAGGTGAAAGGTGTAAATACAAAAGTTGTAGCATTTTATGTGAACCAACAGAATTTTTAATTAAATTAAAAAAATGAGCAACACAAAATGAAAAAATATGTCAATGTTCACTTTTTTCAAATGGAATTCACTTTATTTTCTTTCAAATTCTCAAAGTTCTCGTTTTTCTGATTCAGATTATATGATGTATTAATGTTTCTGTCCTTGAATAGCTAAACTCCAGACATCTCAAAAACTATTGAAAGAGACATTTACGTATCATATAATCTGAATCTGAAAAACGAGAACTAAAAAAGTTAACATCGACATATTTTTTTACTTTGCATTGCTCATTTGTTCAATCTAATTGAAAATTCTGGCGGTTCAGATAAAATGCTACAACTTTTGTATTTACACCTTTTATCTATCACCCGTAATTACGGCTGCAGGTGGGTGTCAGGGAGACTCACCCTGTACCTACATTCTCTAAAGTATAAATACATTTTCAAGAAATCATTGTTGATAATTCTAAGCCTGCGCCCCCTCCCTGAAGAAAATCCTGGATCCGCCACTGTACCATTATACCCTCCAAAAGGCATACTGGGTAAAATCACGTCCGAAAATCTGTCACTATCTCCCGGTCTATTACACGCACTGACAAAAGACAAAACAAACAATTCAATTGTGAATTAATGTGATTTCGAATATTTTCGAACGACTTCCGATACTTGGACCTCCAGCCTCGGCCACCCTACAATTAACTCCAGCCTCGACCCTTTCCACAAACTTCTGAACCTCAGGCGATCTCTCATGCGGCATTTCGCTCGGTAAGTGGGTCAACTCGTATTTAGATCGCTCTCCAGAAGATATCCAGACCTACCCGGACCGTTCTAGACCTTTTCCTGACCGTTTCCTGTGTTTTTCAGATTTTCCAGAAAATATCCAGATTCTGGAAAATGTTTTCTTGGTGCTTCTGAGCTCTCTCCTGACTTTTCCAGGTTTTGCCAGAATTTATCCAGATTCTGGAAAATGATCCCCAGGTCTTTCGAGACCCTTTCCAGATTTTCCAGAATTTTTCCGGCCCTTTCCAGAAATTTCTAGGCATTTTCCAGACGTTTCCAAAGATTTCCAGACTTTATCCAGACTTATCCAGACTTTATCCAGACTTGTCCAGACTACTCCAGACCTTATCCAGCCCTTTCCTGACCTCTCTAGACTTCTTCGAAACACTTGCCCGAATTGTTCTATAGCTCACTTGGTTTGTTCCAGGTTCTTGTCCATATACTTCCCAAGAGTCCAAAAGTTCGCACGCGTCCCTACCCTCCTACCCCTTACCCGTTGACACCCTTTCCCGTGACGTATGGGATAAATGCAATATAAAAATTTCGAATTTCGTATGCCATACTACGTGCCCGTGCGATAAAAACATTTTCAACGTTAAAAAATTACGTAGCTTTTATGAGATGTTCTACATTTTGAAAAATATCATATCCAAAATTAATTACGATCGGACATCAATTAACAAAGTTATGCACTAGTTTGCAAAAAATATTATTTTAATGAAATTTTTTAGTTTTTCTAAAAATTTGTTGTTTGACACATTTCGCGATTTCCGATCAATGGGCGAACAAGAAATTCGAATTCGGCAGGTCATTTCACATAGGATATTTCAAGCTTTTCAGGTGGATGTTCGCTATTGAATAGTAGTAACGGGGGCACCTGAGCCTGGGAACTTTTTCGATACCGTGGGAAAATCTCTAGATCGGCGGCGCCTTTGATCTGAAATTTCGGGGATTTGACCCGGGCCAACCCCAAATTTTTGGCGGTTTTTCCGGAATTTGAACGTAGCTCCTTATCTCATGGTGTCATCTTCAAACCGTAGTTATCGTTCATTCGAGGCGTCGTCGTCTCGTCATCGGGCGTCGGCGTCTCGTCATCGGGCCTCGTCGTCACCGTCTCGTCATCGATCGATTTTAAAAAAAGTCTAGTCTGGCTGGAGAACCGAGCCCTCGGACCATCACACCAAAATTCAACACTCTAGGCACTGGACCATTTAGTAGTTGGTAAAAATGTTGGAAAAACGTTTATAAAAGCGCTGCGTGGTTAGTCCTATTATACCTACTATTTTTTCCTTTTATTTCGCGTTCCATTGGTCCGATTTAATTAATTCTTTTTCAAAAATGTTCAAATAATTATGGGGCATATTTGAAGAGTAATAATTGCAATAACGCAAAAAATTCTAATAATTACAAGATCCTGACATTTTTTCAGTCAAAAATAATTTAATCAAGAGGGCAACAACATCAATTAATTGTGGTATCAAAAACATTTTTAGCAAAATATTAGTCATTATTTTTTAAAAAACTATATACTTATCAAAAGCGGTTTGTTGCTGATAACGAATGGAAATTTTAAAGAAGAATTCTTTTATTAGAATGCGATTTTCGTTCAAATTTTCCGTTATCACCACTGCTAAAAAATATCTGTCAAATTTTTAGCAATTGGTAATCAGGTTACCTATCAGATTTAACATAGAAAATGGTAACAATAATATAATACGTGTGTTGAACAGTGTAGTTAATGTGTTGAACTTTTTCCTAATCTAACCAACATTGTAACTCCAACCGTTCCCCTAGATCATGTTAAAAGCAACAGTGAATCACTATGTCGGTGTATCTAAAAAAGCGAAAATTTCACACACAAAAACTATCGCGACTTAATAAGACTTTGTCCCAATTGAGCCGAATTGTAATATGTATCTCTCTATCGTGATTCGTGGCACGATTTCAGGTTTTTACTTATAAAAGTGTGAGTACAACTAGAGTGTAATTATTGTGATTCCTGGCTTCACTTTTTTGTAATTATTATCAATACCATCATACGTCTGAACATTTTCAAAGTGAATTTTCAGCTATACCAACTTTCTCTGCTTTAATTCTGGTGAATATCTCTACTTCTACGAGTCTGGAAAAATGCAATAAGAAGACTATTATATTTTTTTTTTAATAATTTTTATTCACTAAAAAATTACAAAACATATTAACGTCCTTTGTTGAACGTTTTATAATAAATTAAAAAAAAAACCTCTCGGTCCTAATGCAGACATTCAGGCGATGCCGTTTGAGTTTGTGTTTCCTCTGATGACTGAAAACCGAAGCATAATGGTCGGCAATCTTATCCAAGTATCTTTTTTTTTTGAATTTCATTGAGATTGGCATAAGAACAGAAGCCAATTATCAAAATACTTTGTAGATCGGTCACTAAATTTATTCGCAAAATCTCAGCCTCAGCCACTGTTCCTTGTATGATAGCCAATAAGCCGAGCACCGATTAGGCTATAGTTGGCACTCCACGTTATTATTTTCAGATCATCTTCAGGGACTGCAAATAAGCTAGCAACATTATTATTTTCCGAATATTTATTTTTTCTTTGAGCTGCCCTCAATATTTTCTCTAGACTTTTGATAATCATCTCTATATCTTCACTTTCATATAGTCCATCAATACTTTGTGATTTAGTTTTTCCGGTGACCATTGATTGTATGTTCCGTTCTTTGTCATGATACTTTTGACAAAGATGCTTAACTGTTCCTATTTCCTCCATTATGGCTATTATATTTTCCTTGCTCATATTTTTAAACTCATTATTAAATAATTGGAACACCTTCATGCATTTATCTTCATCCAAGATTTTTTTTGTGAGGTCCGTGCCTTTTAGAAACAAAATTGTTGAAAACACTAACTTTGGCATGTTGAAATCCATTTCTGACATATTGTACATACATTTCCAATCAGGATTGAAGTAGAAAACAGCATCGTTAGCTGTTTGTTTTTGATAACCATAACATATGTGGAAAAGGTCACTGTCTCTTGATCTAAGGATGTTTGGTCGCGATACGTCCCTTCGCAAGAAGCACTCATATTCGGCTTCTCCAAATGGTAATTTAACAACCTTACTTTTTCCATTGAATGGCAATCGTTGAATTATTACCTGGCACATGAGCAAAATGGCCAAATTTAAGTCAAACTTCCTATTAGCTGACATATTTTTTGATTTCAAGCTAGGAGATATTCCATCGATGTAAATTTTCACGCTATTCACCGGGCATTGCAATTGAATTTCCTTGACATAATTATAAGTCATCTTGTAGGTGGATTCGGCCATCAAGTTTTCATCATAACCATCGTTGTATGAGTCAGTGGTAACTTTTAGATTTTCTGGCGTACGACTTTCGTACAATAATGATAATCCGTCTAGCGATATATCAACTGGTATCTTGGAGAACTGTCGCAACTCAGTCGTATCCACTGGTTTCGCTTGCGATTGCAATAATCTTTTCGCTCCTCGGATTCCCATATTTTTATTCTTCTTATATATAGGTCCGTTCCCTTCAAGTGATCGATTACTAATGAGACAATTAAGGTACTTGCAATTACATAAGTATTTCTTCTTAGGAAACAAATTGAGTGGTGGGGGGATTCTGCATTCGAAAATTCGAAAATAAAAAAATATATATAAGAGTAGAAAAAAAGCTCTTTTTCCCGATAAACTTTCGAGTGCAGAATCCCCCCACCACTCAATTTTTTTCCTAAGAAGAATTACTTATGTAATTGCAAGTACCTTAATTGTCTCATTAGTAATCGATCACTTGAAGGGAACGGACCTATATATAAGAAGAATAAAAATATGGGAATCCGAGGAGCGAAAAGATTATTGCAATCGCAAGCGAAACCAGTGGATACGACTGAGTTGCGACAGTTCTCCAAGATACCAGTTGATATATCGCTAGACGGATTATCATTATTGTACGAAAGTCGTACGCCAGAAAATCTAAAAGTTACCACTGACTCATACAACGATGGTTATGATGAAAACTTGATGGCCGAATCCACCTACAAGATGACTTATAATTATGTCAAGGAAATTCAATTGCAATGCCCGGTGAATAGCGTGAAAATTTACATCGATGGAATATCTCCTAGCTTGAAATCAAAAAATATGTCAGCTAATAGGAAGTTTGACTTAAATTTGGCCATTTTGCTCATGTGCCAGGTAATAATTCAACGATTGCCATTCAATGGAAAAAGTAAGGTTGTTAAATTACCATTTGGAGAAGCCGAATATGAGTGCTTCTTGCGAAGGGACGTATCGCGACCAAACATCCTTAGATCAAGAGACAGTGACCTTTTCCACATATGTTATGGTTATCAAAAACAAACAGCTAACGATGCTGTTTTCTACTTCAATCCTGATTGGAAATGTATGTACAATATGTCAGAAATGGATTTCAACATGCCAAAGTTAGTGTTTTCAACAATTTTGTTTCTAAAAGGCACGGACCTCACAAAAAAAATCTTGGATGAAGATAAATGCATGAAGGTGTTCCAATTATTTAATAATGAATTTAAAAATATGAGCAAGGAAAATATAATAGCCATAATGGAAGAAATAGGAACACTTAAGCATATTTGTCAAAAGTATCATGACAAAGAACGGATAGTACAATCAATGGTCACCGAAAAAACTAAATCACAAAGTATTGATGGACTATATGAAATTAAAGATATAGAGATGATTGTCAGAGGTCTAGAGAAAATATTGAGGGCAGCTCAAAGAAAAAATAAATATTCGGAAAATAATAATGTTGCTAGCGTATTTGCAGTCCCTGAAGATGATCTGAAAATAATAACGTGGAGTGCCAACTATAGCCTAATCGGTGCTTGGCTTATTGGCTATCATACAAGGAACAGTGGCTGAGGCTGAGATTTTGCGAATAAATTTAGTGACCGATCTACAAAGTATTTTGATATTGGCTTCTGTTCTTATGCCAATCTAATTGAAATTCAAAAAAAAATACTTGGATAAGATTGCCGACCATTATGCTTCGGTTTTCAGTCATCAGAGGAAACACAAACTCAAACGGCATCGCCTGAATGTCTGCATTAGGACCGGAAGGAATTTTTTTTTAATTTATTTATAAAATGATACGTTCAACAAAGGACGTTAATATGTTTTGTAATTTTTTAGTGAATAAAAATTATTAAAAAAAATATAATAGTCTTCTTATTGCATTTTTCCAGACTCGTAGAAGTAGAGATATTCACCAGAATTAAAGCAGAGAAAGTTGGTATATCTGAAATTTCACTTTGAAAATGTTCAGATGTATGATAGTATTGATTATTACAGAAAAGAGAAGCCAGGAATCACAATAATTACATTCTAGTTGTACTCACACTAACTTCTATAAGTAAAAACCTGAAATTTGTAGCAAAAACATACCTACATAGCCACTAGGATAATAGTCTCGTGTCGTGGTGTCCCGCACTTTTAAATATCATAAAGTAGAAAATAAAGCTAAAATGCCGTACCACAATATGGAGAGATATTAGAATCCGGCTCAATTAGGACAAAATCTTATTAAGTCGCGATAATTTTTTGTGTGTGAAAATAAGATCAAAATAAAGCATAAAGAAAGAAAAACGTATTTGCTCCTTTACTTTCGTATATATTTTTTTATTTTAAAGAATTAATAATATTGTGCTAGCTAAAATTGTTCTCAATACCATAATTAATGTTGTTGCCCTCTTGCTTAAATTATTTTTGACTTAAAAAATGTCAGGATCTTGTAATTAATTTTTTTTTGCGTTATTGCAATAATTATAAGTCTTCAAGTAAATCATTGCCCTATAATTATTTGAACATTTTTGAAAAATAATTAATTGAATCGGACCAATGGAACAGGAAATAAAAACAAAAAATAGTGAGTACAATAGGACTAACCACGCAGCTTTTTATAGAAAATATTTCAACATTTGACAAAATTTGACAGATATTTTTTAGCAGTGGTGATAACGGAAAATTTGAACGAAAATCGCATTCTAAAAGAATTCTTCTTCAAAATTTCCATTCGTTAACACCAGCAACAAACCGCTTTCGATAAGTATAAAGTTTTGTTAAAAATAATGAATAATATTTTGCTAAAACTGTTTTTGATAGGTACCACAATTAATTGGCGTTGTTGCATTATTGCAATTATTAGTCTTCAAATATGCTCCATAATTATTTGAACATTTTTGAAAAAGAATTAAGTAAATCGGACCAATGTAACGCTAAAAAAAAGGAAAAAGTAGTAGGTATAATAGGACTAACCACGCAGCGCTTTTATAAACGTTTTTCCAACATTTTTATCAACTACTCAGTGGTCCAGTACCTAGAGTGTTGGATTTTGGAGCGATGGTCCGAGGGCTCGGTTCTCCAGCTAGACTAGACTTTTTTTAAATCGATCGATGACGAGACGGTGTCGACGACGCCCGGTGACGACGACGACGCTCAATGACGAGACGACGACGCCCCGAATGGAAAATAACTGCGGTTTGAAGATGACACCATGAGATAAAGAGCTGCGGTCAAATTCCGGAAAAACCGCCAAAAATTTGGGGTTGGCCCGGGTCAAATCCCCGAAATTTCAGATCAAAGGCGCCGCCGATCTAGAGATTTTCCCACGGTATCCAAAAAGTTCCCAGGCTCAGGTGCCCCCGTTACTACTATTCAATAGCGAACATCCACCTGAAAAGCATGAAATATCCTATGACGGATTCGAATTTCTGGTTCGCCCATTGCCTATTTTCTTATGAGCGAGAGGATAAGTGACCTAAAATGCGTGCGGAAAAGTGACCTAAACTGCGTGCGAAAAAGTGGCACTAGTTATTATAATATAATTAATTCAATAATGTTTTTGTATTTTTATACTTAAGTCGTTTTGTTTTTTCATAATGTTTCAGTTTTTTTGTAATGTTTTCTTTTTGAACGATTTTATTCAACTTCATAGAGCCTGATGGCTATCTAAGTGTCTGTCTATCAAATATTGCGGTTAATTTTTGACACACTTTCCGTGAACCGATGGTAGGTCCGATGACAAATACAATATTATGAAAAAATTGGTAGGTAGGGGGTGGTTGAGGGTGGTGTAAAGGGGGAAATTCAGAACTTTGGATCCAAGACAGATACGAACATGCAGTTTCCAGATTTGTAATTTGATTGGTTGACAATACAATTATATGAATAAAAATCAATGGTAGGGGGTGGGTGAGGGGTGTAAAATGGGTAAATTCAGAGCTTTGTAATGATAAAAGTTACAAACTATAACAAACATGCGGTTTTCAGATTTATGATTTGATCTGGTGACAATATAATTTTATCAGAAAAAAAAACGTGGTAGGGGGTGGGTGAGGGGTATAAAGGGGGTAAATTCAGAACTTTGAAATCCAAACAAATACCAACATGCGGTTTTCAGATTTATGATTTGATCTGGTGACATTACAATTTTATGAAGAAAAAAAAAACGGAAGTAGAGGATGGGTTGGCGGTGTAAAGGGCCTAAAGGGGGTACATTCAGAACTTTGATATCCAAACAGATACGAACATGCGGTTTTCAGATTTATAATTTGATCTGGTGATAAAACAATTTTATGAAAAAAAAAATCGGAAGTAGGGGGAGTGTGAGGGGTGTAAAGGGGGAAAACACAGAACTTTGAAATGAAAACAGATACGAACATGCCGTTTTTAGATTTATGATTTATTGTCTGGCCTCATTTCCGTCGAGCTCAAATGTCTGAGACACATATTCCATCAGTGCCTATTGGTTTTGGTGAAGATAAAATACATATGATTGAACCAAAGACAATCTAGACTCGTTGTTTTCTTATCCCATCGCAAAGCAACCCTTTTTCGCAGGCCGTTCTGACAATTTCCTACCTACAGGCGAGCACGGGTTGAAAGACTGGTTCGTCCAGAATGTCCCAGGTGTGATGTTACCTTCGCCCCCCCCCCTCTGGCCACGAAGTTGCCTCGAGGAGGGGCCAGAATCCAGTTCACCTTCTTTTTCGGAGGTCTTCCTCGTTTTCGTATTGGTACCACCGGAGTCACTTCAGAGGTCCCATGTACAGTCGTTAATTCTGATACATGATATATTCCTATAAGGATATTGCTGGTTCTTGTATGTCAGCAACTTCATAGCTTACTAAAGAAACTTTCCTCACTATTTGGTAAGGTCTCTCTCTCTATTGGGGTTAAATTTCGAGGTTTTCTGTTTAGTAGCACTGCTAAGGGTATGGGTAGCTATCCAAACGTGGTCATCAACTTTAAAGGGTTCTACAGCTTTCCGATTTTTATCGGCGTAGTTTTTTTGATAATCCTGTCGTTTTTCGTTGATATCACGAGCTTTGTTTGAGCCCAATTCGTAAATACGATTTCATTCTGAATTTTTAGTTTATTTTTTGTTTATTATTTGAATTTACTTTCACAAGAACCGTATTCGGAACTTCCTCTCGTTCCACTAGTAATACCAGGAAGCAAGGGCGCCCATAGAACATTTTTCAGGGGGGGGGGGCAAAAAC